TAAATCACTGTGTCAGGAGTGACAGTGTACTCTGCTGACCGCTTCCTTAACGGAGCGACGTTGCTTTCAGGGGTCAGCAGAAGCAAGGTGGTGCTGTGCAGATCTAGGAGCAATCTTGGTCCCTACCAGTGAAACCCCTGCTTCAAGTGGCAACATTTGCAAGCTGCTCCCTTGTTTCAGTAAAATCAGAAGGCTCTACAGAGGCTGACAAGCTGTGGTCTAGCACTGAGCCAAGCTGAAGATGAATCCACCAAACTCAGCACCTCCTTAATGAGGTGCTTAATGCAGAACCCTGGACCGTACGGAACCTGTCTGCTTGAGAGCTTAAACTGGGATGAGATAAAGTAACTGCTGCTGGCAAGCTCCGGCTCTCTAGTCAGACTTTTGGGTGAGTCATCATTGCCTGGATATCGCAACCCTTGATTTTCTAGCAGATACCTGTGGTGAAGGCCAAATACACTTTCCCTGTGCTTGTTCCTCCCCAGCTAACTGCAGTATCATGCACCTTGTCATGATTCCTAAAAAACAGAGTGTTCTGAGTGAAAGGTGAAAGCTAATTCTCCTTCTTCAGCATGACCATACTGTGAAGGTAAGGTCTAGCCCTGCTTATGTGGGACCTATTGAGGAAAGGCTGGATTCTGCCCCTACCTGCCATATGATAGGCTCTGTCACTGCTTCCCCTGTCATATGGCAGAAGCCTTGAGTCACACTTGCTCTCTTGAATTTCAGTGCTGTAGTAGTGTCAGTGCCTGAAACTAGGTAATAGTAATCCGTGATCTCAGTCAGACACTATAGTTCAGGTTTCTTGTTTCCTGTATTTGAACAAAAATTTAAGTAACTGGTAGCTTTTGGTCCATAAGGACATTATGACTCTGAGCAGGTAACCTTTCATATCTCATGCATATTATTTCATACTATGCATACTATTTCATGCATATTTTTATTCTTTAATTCATACTAAGCATTTATATAAATCTTTATAGGCTCTCAATTGCAGTTGCGTGTTCCTTACTTCTTTGTAAATTAGACAGGTTGCCATTTACATGTAGATCACTTTTCTTTTTGCAATGCCCCTCTACCCATATGACTTCCAGTAAAATAAACAGATATTATGAAATGAACAAATTAAAAGGTGTGATGTACTGAGGAGATAAAAAGTTGTAGTCCACGTGAATAGTCTTGAGATCTCACACAGACATATACACAAACCCACGCCCATCTGTAGATAAGATGAGAGGAGATAAAGGATGGATTAAGAAGACCAGAAGAGAGGCCTCCTTAGAAGACCAGGAAGGATGTCCTACCCACCTATGTGCTATACTTCAATGACTTGTGTTTCTCTATGTTGTGCAGAATGCGAGCGGGTGACTCTCAGACTTTGAATTCAGAGGACCATGGTTATCAATTATAGCAGCACAAACGTATGCCACAAAAACATTCAAAGACCCTCTGAAAACCCACCAGTGGCCTTAAGAGGTGAGCAATTAGGTGTGTACCTACAGCCGCAGCTAGGGAATCAGTATCTCAGATACCCTCAGAACATGCTGGATGGATAAAACCTTGCACAAAGTGATGGAAACTGGGGCAGTGTGGCATCTTGCTTATCCAACAGTTGAACAGGTGAGGTGTTTACCTGGACAAGTCAAAATTAGGCCCTGCTTTCTGCTCTACAGCATGAAGTGGTAAATGACTGCAATCACAAGATATTCTGTGAAGTTTATCAAGTGGCTAACATCTGTCACGTATTTAGCTCCACGTCCACATTCTAGTGAAAATCCTGGTATTGATGTCATTTAAAAGCAAATTCTTAGTAGGAAACAGGTACTGTCTGGCTGATTTTTGGCGTGTTGCTAAGTAGCTTTAATACAAGTTTTGGTCACAGATTCCCTTGCTTATGTATTTATCTTGTGACAGCTCTCAGACTACTCTCCATAGTTCAGAAAGCAAAGGGGCTGTGGCTTAGTGCAAGTCTGTGTATTGTCATGTAATACATGTGATTAAGAAGTACTTTTTAGTAGTGAGTTATACTTCTATGACATGGCACAAAGTGGCAGCTTCGCAACACCTCTGCTAGGAGAAGTCTTCATCCCTTGTATAGCTTTGAACTTGTCCATCACCTGCGTAGCTGCAAAAATGAGACTTTGTGTATCTAGAGTTATTTTCTTTGTTACTCAGCTCTTGATGTATGTTGTTTATCTGGGCTCTTGTAGGACTTTTTGTTGCCTTCTTTTTTTTTTGTCAGCCTAAACATTCTCATTCAGTTTGTTTCACAATGCATCAAATAAAGAGAGTTAATAAAAACCTTGCTTTAGATTAGTTACACAGAAGAACAGTAGCATTGATCCTGCAATTGCCCACAGGAGACCTTTTTGTAACTCTCCCAAAGCTTTGAGTTACTTACATGACTTAAACTCTGACCAGCTTTTGCTGTCCTCCAAATATTTTTGCATGCTTGGATTGGAGAACCTGGGACAGGTACAAGCCAAATGGGTCTGGGAGCAGAAAAATTTTTCTGGTTGTTTCTGGAAATGTTTTTGCTGCTCCATCTCCTTTGGAAATTGGCAAATAAATTAATTTCAAGACTTTTAGGAAATTTAGAAAGAAGGTGTCCAGGTTCTTTTTTCAATTAGGATCCACCTACTTTTGCTGCAGATAATTCGTATTTTCCTGTTGACAGTGGAGCTTGTGAACTGCCTGAAACAAGGCTTGAACTATCCAAAATGAACTTTTCAGAAGAAGAAACTATGTAGAAATAAACCCAGAAAAAGACAGCCCAGATGGTACCAAATCACTTAACCTGGCAGCAGTAACTAGTGTGTATTGAGCTGGATGGAGAGTGTACAAACACAGCTATGATGTCTCCTGTGGCCAAACTAGCCTGTTCACTCTTAGTGTCAGTATCTCTGCACAGTACTGTGCAACAGTCACATCACTAGTTAGCCTTTGACTAGCACTCTTTGCCCAGATCCATTCAGTTTACCCTCCATTATCTTTGACAAGGCTGTGTTATAACAGAAATCTCATTGTTCTTGAAAGACAAACAAAAATTTGAAGTCTGAAGTCTGAAGATGTACAGATTTCTTGCTGGTTCCATGACCAATATATGTCACTGAACTCTCGACCATCTGCCCATATTTTACTGCTGTAAATAAAAAGCTCTGCACTGCAGAGCTGTTGCATGAACAACTGCCCAGTTCCATTTCACCTGGGCATGCACCTCCTTGTTTTTCTTCAGACGTTTGAACTGCATGGACCACAAAAATCAAAGAAAGGCTGTAAATTCAATGTTAGTCCTGCTCTTGACTGTAAACCTTTGAAACAGTAGGGATTTCAGCCTCCACACTGAAGTATCTTAGAAGAGGAAAAGTAGAGAAGTGCTTATAAAAGATAATACTTTTTTTTTCATTGCTGTTCCATTTCCCCATACTAACCTTTGTTTTAGAGCATCTCACAGCTATAAACTACAGAGGGTTTTCTTTAGAGTTAAAAATCATCTCAAAACATTCTGTGTGAACATAATATGAGCTCCTTTTCTCTGTCTCTAATAGGATGAACCTCTTTGCCAGCTACGTACTTCCAAGTCTTCTCTCTCATCATGAAGGTTTGGGGGGAAGAATGGGGTCACCAGTGTATGCCTTCCACCCTCAGTCACTGAATAATTTTCTACTGAGACAGTAGGAATTCATTTTATAGATGAAAGATTAAAATCCAGCCCTGAAATGAATCTTTAAAGAAGCAGAAGTTCTGTGGCCTCTGGAGATGTCTCCTTCCCCTGCAGTTTGCACAGACGAGTCAAGGACTTCATAGGGATGGAAAAGATATGGCAGGTGATTTCTGTAAATCTCTGCCAGGTCAATTTTAAATGCCTTCCCTGACCTGCCCCGTGCACAAATAAAGCGCCTGTTTCCAGAGCTGTCAATCAAGAACCTCTCAGGGTAGGAAATGTGTTTTAGAAAACTTGTGCTGTTGAGCCACCCTCTGGCTTCCTTCTTTGTTGATATGTTTTATTGTACACAATGAGCTTCCAGTATCATCCTGCAAAGCAGTTCCTGACTTGCAGATCTTTATTAGACAAATCAGCCTTGGACTGGAGGCATGGTGTTTATCTATGGATGTTCATCTTCTGAAGACAAAGTGTAGATTCCACTCTGATGAGTCTTCAGCTTTTTTTTTCTCCATCTAACCAAGTGAGAAATACTAACTAGGTGACAGCCAGTCAGAGCAGAGGGGTGGAAATGACATACTGAAATGACTTTTGACTACCCGGCAAAGACTTGCTTTCTATGAATGATGTATGTCCTCGTTAGCCTTCAAGGAGAAGAAAAATCGTTTTGCTAACATTTACTAACCGGTTTTTATCAACCAATGAACTGTAGAGGTAGAGATGCAGATTTTTCTTGCAGGGAGGCTTCTCTGCCTTTGGAAGTTTTTATTATTTGAGTAGCTAGTATTATTCAAGTATCATTTCTGGGTCAGAGCCAACTGCAGACTGATTTTGGAAGGTTCCCCTTTACAGAGACTCAGACACAACACCTGCTTGAGCTGACTGCATGTGTAGAACCAGCTAAGAAAACTCACAAACTCTCATGCATTCAATACCACCATACTTTATAATTACTTTTACTCTTTTCTTCCCTGTTCCCCCTCTTAGTTTAGAACAGGATTGTGGGATGTCTTGGGATTTGAGTGGCTTTTTGATGGAACGCCATGTTCTAACAAAATCCCTCCAGTCTCTATTTTTAATCCTATTTCATGGTTTTCTGTTGCTCCACTCCCATTCCTCTCACAAGAGTACCATGTCTCCCCTCTGTGAAATGCAAGTTAATTTTTAATGTCAGCAACCAGATCTGTGGAGTATACAAGTTTTCCAACCTCCTCCCAAGACATGAGCAGGCTAATCAGCTGTATTCAGCAAGGAGCAGTGATGGAGAGAGAAATGCACCAGAGGGTTAATTTTTTAATATAATACATCTCATACGGTGAGAGAGGAAGGTAAAAAACAAAACAAACAACTCCCCCAAAAATATAAAAGAGATAAAACTTACCTAGTTAAGTGTATGAAACTACTATATAGAGCTACTTCAGAGCAACTACTTGAGAATGAATCTATTCTGGTCTTAGAGTCTTTGCAGACAAGCCCTTGGCTAACTTACTCTAAACCTCTAAAATAGACAAACCAGTGTCAACGTCAATGCCCAAGGGCCTAACTCAGCCAGCTTTTCCCATTAAAAGCATTATGCTTTGTCTGCATCAGACTTTTAAAATGTATCATCTAATATGTGCTAATGACACGTATTTAAACCCTAGTCTAGACAAAGCCTGTGCGATTGCCCTCTGAATGCTTGATGCGATCAGCTAACATCCTGACAACAGATATGATTACCCCATTTTAATCATGCAAGGCTATAAACATTGCAGAATTATCCAGACTTTCCTGGTAGTAAAGAACAAACTCTGAAGGCTGTGCATGGGATCCAAGCTCCTGAAGACCCTCATGGGGTGAGACCTTTGCCCTTGCACAAACAAGCCTATCAGCGGGGTTGTAAAAGCCAGGCTTTAGCATACAGAAACAATTCTATGCAGAGGAATCTGTTATTCCAGAAGGGTGAAGAAAATGACCTAAGTGATTAACTTGGACTACTGCTTTGACATGTGTGGTTAGCTAATAGTCTGAAAGGAATCAAGAGCAGAGCTGAGACTTCGTGTCTGTATACAGCATTGATCAGACTAATTCATGTAACAGCTTTTTTCTGCACATTTTGAAACAGGTGTTGAAAAATTGGAAAGGATATTAAAAACCAGGATGCAATGATTTGAGAAAGAGAAGATAAATGCTTTATAGCAAAACACTTAAAAGCTCAATCTGTTTAGTTTATGAGGAAGAATACTGAGAAGTAAATAGATTACAAAATATAAGTAACTTCATGGGGAGAAAATATGCAGTACTAAAGGATTATTTAATCTTGCAGAGAAAAGCAAAACTGGCTAGAAGCAGCCAGAAAAAAAAAAAAAAAGAAGTTAGGAAGTAAGGACACAATTTTGACAGTAATAATCTCTTCTAACAAACTATGGAGAAAAAAAAAAAATCATTTCCATCACTTGATAACCTTGATTACGGTTGGATGCTTTTATGGGAGATGTATTTTAATCCACCATATGCTATTGGGATCACTACAGAACTAACTGTGACATGGCTAAGATATGAGCAGTCCAAGTGGATGGGTTTTTTTAGGCTTCAATATATGTATATAAAAGTACAAAAATTGTCAAGAAGTATTTACCAGCCAGAAATCTGAGCAAATACTTATAATATGGCTGTGGTAGGATTGCAGGAATGCTCTCTGCTAGGTTTGAAGGAATACATATTTTTTTCCTCTTCCTGCCCCCCAAATATCCCCATTGAGAGGGAGTATGACACTGGAGTCAGACCATTAAGTCTGAATAGTCACAATGTTTATTACTCAGTGTGAGGCAAAACACTTAATCAGAGGTACTCCTTAGTGTATCCATTTGATTTTGTTTATGAATTAGGATTTCCAAGTATTCAATGTAATGAGTTTATGTAGTCTGGAGTTCTGCACCTTGTAAGCATTATTTCCTGATTTGGCTGCTTTTTCCACTGACTTGGTTTTGAAACAGTTTTAAATGAGTAAGCAAATATTCACCCCTTGCAGTCCAAGTAGTCTCAATGACTGTGGTCTCAGAGAGTCTGAAGAAAGAATGGCTTCTTCAGTGTTGCATCCTGCTTTATGGGCACTTAATGCTGATTAACGTAGGAAGATTTCTTTTTTCCTGAGCATCTCAGCAGTTGCTTCCAAAGGATATTGACTACAGAACAGATCCAGAAGGAATTTGCTGCTGTTTCTACTTTTGTTTTGCAGAAAAGTTTGGGTAAAAGAGCTGCAGATCTTTCCAGGGTAACCAGAGTGACAAGTCAAGGCACAACTTGTACCCTTTGACAGGAGATGCTGAACTCTGAGATGTTTTTGTTGTGTGGACAAAGTGGACATCAGTCCTGTATTAGGTACCAGCCTGGTACTACAGGCACAAAAAGAACGTATCTCTCCACTTCTTTTCCTTCATCTCCCCAAGCCTTGTTCCCTAAATCAGCTCACATTAGTGCAGAACGTTTTTGTCATACTAACACTGACAGTAAGAGCCATTATGATTTTAAGTAAAATAGTGCTTGCAAGACCAAAATTTTTATTTAAACAAGCCACCCAGAATGCTCTCACAGCAAATTTCTTAGCTTTAGATTCCATAGCATTTACTCTATATGATGTGTAGCTAAATGTAGCATAGCTTGGTACAGGGTTTCCTCTAAATCTCAGTATAGCGATTCCTTAAGTGAATGTGATGCTCTGGCAGTTGTGAATGTGCAAGTTTTGCCTGAAATATGCACACTTCAATAAACAATTAAGACTCCACTGTGTGCAATAGGACAGGGAAATATTAGAAATTTCCTTTTTAGTAATGGGAATAATGCAGTCTTCATCAAACATTGCTGTCTCTTGTGGGCATAAAATGCAATTTAACAGAAAGGTTACACTCATCTCTCTCAAAAGTGCAGGGTGTAATTCGCATTTCTCCAAGAGGTTTTGCACATTGTGTCTCTTAGGCCTTCAAGTGGTAATCAAATACAGTGCAGTAAGAGGCTTGCCCTCTAAACTGATAAAAGTCAACCCTACCACAGCTCCAAGACAATTCAATGCTGATGATGAGTTCAAAAGCTCTCCTGGGAGAACAGGAGTTCAGGCCAACTGAGCTTACAAATCTCTGCAAATTACCCTGAGCATGTTTGGGCAGTTAGAAACCAAATCTTCTCCTGTTCCAGTAGTCCCTGTTTGAGAAGAGGTGGCACAGACATGATTTCTGCTGCAACTTGCAGTTGCATGCCAGACTATGCACAGTCTTACGTCTTGAGCTCGTGGTTAGCCTGATGATGTAGTGTCCCTTTGGCTTTTCCTTCCCTTGTTTTCTTTCCCACTACCGTTTTGAGGATCCTGCTAACTGTAAACTAGTTTTGAGTTTCTGCCAAATGAGTATCCGCCTTCAACCTGACTCAGCTTGAAGAAATTTGCTTCAGGTCTTGCACTGCCTCATTTCATTAAGTACACTTAGTCACCTCAATATCTGCCTTCTTCTGGGGGAGAGCATACTGACTTCTGATGCAGATGACCAAGCCTCTGTTCCAGTCATCAGGATAAAGTGATGTGGAGAAGGTCTAGTCTTCTCTTCCATTACAGTGACTTCTTTTATCATAGTTAAGTGGCATCACCTCATGGCATTTTCACAAGTTGCTTTGCTGCAATGCCCAACAGTGCTCACCCACAGCCATGGGCTCCACGGGTATACAGCCATCCTGCAGTGGCACACTTCATATGGAGTACATCTTTCTGGGCTATGAGGGCATCAGACTGCCTGACAGCACTGCTCAGAGAAGCTGGCTAAAGGATGCTTTGCCAGAATTTAGTGTTGGCTTGCAGAACGTCACTGTCTTCTCCATATATCAGTAACATACCTGGAGGAGATAGAATTGGCTACAAACTATGTTAGCTAGAAGCTACCTACAATGATCATTTAGTCCAACTGCCTAATCACTTAAGGGCTAACAAAATCAGAGCATCTTATTAAGGGCATTGTCCAAATCAGGTACTGTCCAAATGCCTCTTAAACACAGACAGGCTTGGGGTATCAACCACCTCTCTAGGAAGCCTGTCCCAGTGTCTGACCACCTTCTCAATAAAGAAATGCTTCCTCATGTCCAGTCTAGATGTCTTTCAAAGGTGGCTTCCTTGATATTCATCCCATTTTATCACTTCAGGATCTCCAAGGGATGAAGTACATTTCAGCAGCTAAGTGATAGAGCTGAGAATTTTAATTCACTTTCCCCCAGAGCAATTGAGAACATAATGCTAAACCCAGCTCTGGGGCCCAACCTGAAACTTGTAAGGATCCCCCAGGGTTTCAAGGTCTCGTGAAACATTACAATATTGCAGGATGCCTGCATGCTGTTTAGATCTTCTCTGGCGGTCTCTAACGGCCAGTAAAGGAGATTCCCTTTTAGCTTGCACTACACAAGGACTAAAATGTCACTTTCCTAAAGCACTTATGGTCTAGACAGACATGAAGAATTCAGGAAGTAAAAGAGGAAAAGAAAACACAAGCACAGAAAATATGGTGATTAGGTGACAAGGTCCTGTCAGTTTTAAGATGTTTTGTGGCCATCTATGATTGGAGTTGTTTTGTGGAAGAGGACATGACCTAAAGAAAAGATAAAGGAGGACATGAGAAAAGGGAGGACAGGATATCATGAATAAGTATGCATGAAGAAAGCTGAAGTGAAAGTTTTCTCACATCTCTTTTCCCTAGCTTAAGTGCCATCCATACACATTTATGTTGCAGTACTTAAATAAGAGCTGTCAGGCCTAACACATTTTTGCCTGAATTATTCATAAATCTGTATGATCACAAGAGAAGAAGGAGTTATTTGGATTAAACTAATTTTCATTAACATAACTGGCATATAATTACTAGTTTCATTCAAGTAACTTACCTTAGCACAGGTTCTGCAGCAACCATAATAAACATATATGTTCTTTAAAAAAAGTTCTGAAAGCTTAATTTTCTCCTACAATAGACCTACCAAGCCTCTTCCTGTTTGCCTTTTGCACACAATTAACATTTCATTTAATATTTCTATATTCCAGGTAGATGCCAGAAGAGAAATTGGTCCTAAAGCAGTAATCACTAGCAGTCATGTAAGAGAGTTCCTTCATGACTAATTGCATTTGACACTAATTGCTGTTTATTGAAGAACCTGAGTGAAACATCACTCTGACAAGTATCTGGATACTGCCTGCATCTGTTGCAATTTGCCGTATTTCCTGCTATTGGTGCCCCACTTGATAGGGCCAGCTCCCCTGTGAATGGCTCTGCTGCTTACATAGAGGTGTGACTCAGAGGAGGCTGCTGTTTCTTATCCAGCACCATGCTAAATGCTGTACTGATTCAGTTCTTTAAAGCAGGGCTCTGGGAGGAGTGATCGCTTCCATACTCTCCCAGCTTGGTTGATACACAAACTTCTTCAGCTTTTGCTGGCTTTTACTGTAATGCTGGAGTACTGTGTGACAGTAAATCCTAAATGATAATTTACACTAATGTCATTAAGGGACACCACCAAAAGTGAGTTATTCCTTTCCCTGGCTGGCCAAAGGCCAGAATAATTAGCTGGGAGTTAGAAGGAGCAATTAATTGGATTCATCGCAACTACCCAGCGGAACAGTGAAAATGAGAAATCTGAAGGTGTTCATTTGGCTGCTTGTCTGAAAAAACAAATGAAATCTGTTCAGGTACACAAAGATCCATACTGCTACTTCCTCTGCCAATATTTTTAATTATTTTAATCTTAGCTAATATGGCAAGCTCTTTTTTGACTCCTAATTAATTTAACCAAATTATCTGCGATTAATAGCTTAGGTAGGAGAAAGGTAAGTGCCAGAAGGCTTTTGCTGGATTGACAGAAACTTAAAAACGTCAGAAGAAAAACTTGCACAAACAATATGGTAGAAGTCATATTTATTGATAAAAATTAATATATCTGCTATAAAATTTGTAACAGTAATGCAACTGAATATTTATGTTGATGCATAAACCTGAATGTTACATACCAAATACAATACAGTAACACTGGTTTCCTCCTTATTTACATGTTTATGAAAATTGATATGCAATCCATGTTAAAAGAACTTGTAATGGAGAATAGTTACATTAGAAAAATAATATTCTTGATAAAGCATTCTTGAGGACTCCAATCACATTTTCAGGCCTCTTTCAATAAGGCAAAAATCCCTGGTACAGCATATAACTTAATTTACAAAATACAATAACTTCAGACACATCTTCAAGTTTTCTTTTGGTATGCTTTTCCTCACTGCAAAATTACTCCATTGTCTTACTAAACAGAAAGAACTTTCAATAACAAAGCTTAATGAGTTCTACTACATATTACATATACATCGCTGTAGCTTAGCGACCATAACCGGGCAGTCTTTCTCCTTAACTGTTTGCTCAATGAGCTTTTCTTAGATGTAGGACATGTAGTATTTTGAAATCATTATGACTGTGGTATCTTTCTTTAGTTTTCATAGGAAACAGATCTGTCACATTTTGAAACTTTTTTTTTTTTAATTTTATTTTATTTTAGGAACTGGTGCACAACTACATTTCCACTCACAAGAGAACGTCACAAATGTAACTAAAATCAGGCTTGGATAACTTTGAAAACATACTACTATGTGCCCAAACCCAAATTTCTTACTTTAATACTTTATAACCCTGCCATGCTCTAGGAATTTCTCTTCTGCATAGCTTCATTACTAGTCAAAGTCAGATAGTTTTAATTCCTTCAAAGGCACAAAACTTCCACCTCTTTTCCAGTGTTGCTCCTACACCAGTGAATTCTTGTTTAAACATGCGTGGCAGTCTCATCAAAAGCATTTCTATCTCATTTGCAGAGATCTGAGAAAGAAATAAAAGTAAAATTAAAGTGAGAAAACTGTTCTATAGATTGGAAAGAGGAAATAGGGAGAACAGAGATAAAGGGACAAAGGGGGGGAAATACAGGCCAGATGAAAACAACCAACCAGTTATATTTTTTTTAACCTTAGCCTGACAGGAATTTCCAGACTCTAAAGCAAGTGCAGATTCCTTGCAGGAATGCTTCCGCTTTCATAAGTGCTTCCCACTGTAAAAGAATGACAGCTGCAGCCCCACCATGTGATACCAAGTCCATCTAAGAACTACAGTTGTGGATATACTTGTGAGAAGGAGGAAGCAAATGGGACCTTATTCTTCTTTCTCATCCCAGGAGCTCTTGAACCCTCCTCCTGCTCCATCAGTTCTTCTCTTGCAAAAAAGCTGACACACAGACTTTATTTTTTAATCAGCTCACTTTTGTTACTTAGGGCTGACTATCCATGGAGCCATATTCCCCAGTTTGAATCATTCAGCAGCTCTAGATAACTAAGCCATAAAGTACTTGACTTGGCATTACTCAGGATGTTTTTATGGTTTCGAAACCTTAATCGCTGGTCACCTTCTTAATGGCAAGGATGTTCTCATTGCAGAAAACACTTTCACAAAGGCAACCTTTCTGGTATAATCAGTAGTGAAGTCAAGAAATGAACAGTCACATAAAATGATGATCATAGGGCTGGAGTACCTCTCCTATGGAGAAAGGCTGAGATGAGGATTGTTCAGCCTGGAGAAGGCTCTGGGGAAACCTTTCAGCAGCCTTCCAGTGCCTAAAGGGGGGCTACAAGAAATTTGTATAGGGACTTTGGCCCTGGGCATGTAAGGGTAAGGCAAGGCGGTATAGCCTTCAACTGAAAGAGGGTCAATTTAGATTAGATATAAGGAAGAACTTCTTTACTGTGAGGGTGGTGAGGTACTGGAAGAGGTTGTCCAGAGAAGCTGTGGCTGCCCCATCCCTGGCAGTGTTCAAAGCCAGGTTGGGCATGGCTTTGAGCAACCTTCTCTAGTGGAAGGTGCCCCTGCCCATTTAAGGTCTTCATGGTCCCTTCTAACCCAAACCATTCCATGATTCTATGAAAATGAACAATTTTATCTTACTGCTACTTCTTCTAAAGTAATGGCATGAAAAAATCAGTAAAGAAATCTATGAGTGCTGCCTGTTACCCATAGGTATCTTCATGGTTTGATAGGCTTCTCTGTCAATGATAATTCTGCTTATTCATATTAGTAGGTACTGAAAATCAGTCTTGGAGAAATTCTAAAGCCACAGAGTAATCAGATCCATCTTGTACATATTCTCATGACAGTAATGGAGAGCTAGTTACCTTTGGGTAATATATCTGAGCTCTATACTGAGCCCTCAGCCCACATGGGTTTGCTAACCTTATCATTCCTCCACAGGTGAAGAATGACAGGCTAACCATGGAAAGTAATTGAAATTCATCTCTGCTATTGCATCTATGGATTACACTGTTAAAAAGCAATTTGTTGCTACAAGCAGTTACTTCCAAAATAAACCAGCGAGGTCAAATTTTGCGACTTGTGTATATTATGCAACAGCTAGGTCCAGTGGTAGTTACAGGGACTGGTATGCTGGCACCATGGTGAGATGGAGACAATGCGTCTTCCAGGAGGGCTGTGTTTGCAAGTTAAGGGTTTCATCCTGACAGCCGCAGAAGACACAAAAGGCACAGAAGCCAGCACATTACTCACATGAGCAGAAATTCAAGGACAGAGCCCACAGACATACACAAGGAGGGCAATGAAGGTGGTGAAGGGTTTAGAACACAAGTCATGTGAGGAGCGGCTGAAGGAACTGGGGTTGTTTAGCCTGAAGAAAAGGAAGTTCAGGGGAGACCTTATCACTCTCCACAGCTACCTGGAAGGAGGTTGTAGCAAGGTGGATGTTGGTCTCTTCTCCCATATAACAAGCAATAAGACAAGAGGAAATTGCCTCAAGATGTGCCAGGGGAGGTTTAGATTGGATCTAAGAAAAATTTCTTCCCCAGAAGAGTTGTCAAGTATTTGAACAGGCTGTCCAGGGAAGCGGTGGAACCACCATCCCTAGAGGAACTTATAAGACATGTAGATGTGGGGACATGATTTGCTGATGGACTTGGCAGTGATAGGTTTACAATTGTACTAATGGTCTAATGACCACTACACAATGGTGAGTGCCACTCACATTCTGAGATCATAGCTACATTCTGACTGCGTGTTGCAAGAAGATCTGGGCAAACACCGTCATCTCCATGTCCATAGGAAGTATTGGTATATACGGATCAGAGCTGTGGTTAACCGCAGGGTGACCCCTGCATCTGCAAAGTATTTCATGCAATCTATCATCCCACAGAGCTGTTTAGCCCTTAGAATAGCATTCACCTAATCAAAGGTGGCTATTTCACAGCTGAGCTTCTCACCCTTGACATGCTTAAATTCACCAAAGGAATAGGCCCTTTTGGTGTTGATTTAGTCTCATTCTACAGTAGATATTTAAAAGTAAGTCAATGAATTTTATTTTACAGCTATGTTTTGACTATGGACTGCATGAACTGATGCATTGAAAACCACTTTGCAGTGTAGTGTGTTGGCCTCACTTCTGAAGTGACTACACCTTTTCTGAGTTTAGCAATAGGGTCAGTCAATTCCTTTATGAGGCCCTCTCCACTTCCATGTGGAGACAAAGGGTATGTTTCATTGGCCATTCACATATTCATGAAAGTTCATCTTCAGTATGACCCATGCCTAACTTTTAGAAGAATAAGGAATTGTCTCCCAAAACTGCACAGTTTGATGGCTGTGGCTATACCTGCCTCTTGTTCTGGTTTCTTTCTCCTCAGCCGTATTTCAGGATCATGTATCATAAAATCAGCTGCTAAACTTTGCCATTTAAAGCTCTGTTCTTCTTTGCCATAGAGAACAGTTCAGCAGCGTGAAGCAAAGACCTCAGCACAAACACGTGCACTGTAATTTGTGAATGAATTAAAGACCGCAAACCCCCAAGCCCCATATCCCATTATCTTTCTAATGGAAGCGCACTAAGAGTTTAACCTGCAGTAAAGAATAATACAATATTTCTATAGAGAAAGCAGATTTTGATTAAATTTTTTTACCCTAGAGTCCAACTGCTGCATATAAGACCAAAGATATTCTATATTGGCTCCAAAAGGGTGGACGTGAAGAAATGTGGATATGATACCTGTATGAAAAACAAATGCACACAAGTTATTGAAATTGCCTCAGAAAATATACCATTAAAATAAGCAAAATCATTCTGAATAGTCTGTTCTTGCAGGTTTTTCAGTATGAGTTATGATTCTTATTTTTCTTACACACCCCAATAATCATAACAAAATGGCACATTTTTAATACAGTCATAATAACACGGTAAACACAATAGCTCATCTTCAGGAATGACAGCAGTTAGCAAGTAAGTGACCAAGATAATATACTGATGAATAAAGGAATTTCTAAACAAAGACTTGCTGGAAACATTTCAACTACCAATTTTATGCTTGATTTACCAATATAAAATTGTGGATATTGTAATGGTAAAATTATTGCTTTTTTCCCCTTCACTGGATGTTCTGTTGTGAAAACGTTTCATATAATTGTGTCAGAAACCTCACTCCCTCAATTTTTTCTAGTAATTACGCTGATGCTGGTTATGAAAAGTGTTTAATCCGTATTACCCTAACTGCTGCTGAAGAAAACACAAATTCTTCATGACATATTTACGTATTTACTTTCTTTTAAAAGACAGCCAGTTATGTCTATCTTCACTGTTATTTACAGTGTCGTTGTAAAAGGCACGGGAATAAAAGTGGCTTAAAAGAAGTGAGGATCTAAGTCCAGGGATTTTTTCTGCAGTGAAAATGTAGTGACAGTATATGAATGATGACCAGAGAAAACAAGATTTGGGGCATCATAATTGCTATTAAAAGCACTATCCAATTTCTTCTCTTCTAAACAAAGAATGAAAATACAAAATGGCATGTGTATTACTTACTGTTTGGGGAGAGTTAAACTGTAAGAATCAGACCAAATATTTTCAACTCTGTTTGGATGGGTTTCTTAGCTAAACCACCCTAGGGGAAGTTCCTTATATTTAAAGCATAAACACCAGGATTAAAAATGCTTACAAATGACAAAAATGGGTCACTCTATCTTGTGTACTGCAGGCCATACTGCTTTCTTGATGCTGAATGAATTAGGATAATCTTGGATTTCATTTTCCCTCAAATACTGGCCATAGGTGAAAATGATTAGGAACATTTAACTCATTTTAGACTATCTTTGCAAAGAGCACCTTTTTTCCTCCTTCGTTTTTCTAATAGCATGTACAAACTTCTGATCCTGCAAAGGGAGTGGCATGTTTTTAATTTTATACTATGGCAAGTCCTAGCAGCAGTTGCTTTGTTTGTGCTGTGATATAAGCATGCACACAAGAGCTCTTGAAGCAAAAGCCAAGACCATCACACTTGGATGGGTTGACTGGAAATCCAATTTGTATTCAAATCACATTTTACCGGTGGCATTGCGTTTGTTATGTGTATTCCCAAGGCTTTTCAATTCAGGATGTTCAAAGCTAGCTCTTTCATATAATGTAAATAAAAAATAATTTGAAAATATTTTGTAGTTTTTGACTGGAATTCCATGATAACTTTTTATTAACTGTTTTCCTTTTGAGTTCTTTTCCGCTAACGCAATATCGAATTTCGTAAAATATAGACAAATGTAGCAAATGGATGGAGGCAAGGCTCATTTTTTCCTTGCCACACCTGAACATGCCTCAGAGGAAAAGATAACATGAAATCCATCTTGAGAAATCTTTTGCCTTTCAACTGTAACAATAAGACAGTTGTGGGGGTATTATGACCAGTAATACCTGGACTGAGATTAGACTGTTTATCTGAGTGTGCCACTGAACAGCTGGTGGATGGAACCCACTTTGGGACACTGCCACCACTTGTCACAGTGAAATAACGAGTGACCTAGAAAAAAAGTTTGTTATTCTATTCTTAAAATCCCACCCTTCGTACCCTTCTCACAGAAGTTATCTTTGAAAAGATCAAACACTGCAATTCAAAGTTCCACATTTTATTATAACAAGCAAAATAAAATCAATTCATACATTTCTGTACGTCCCACTGTTCCACATCTCACCAGTCACACAAGTTTGTGTACTTTTAAACATTTAAATACTTTCTTCACTTTGAAATGACCTTTTTTGGTCTGAACTGTCTGAATGCCTGACCCAGCAATAAGCCAGCTACTTTCCTGGTGCTTAGCAGATGCAAATGAGTTGCATCTAAACAAACTGAGGTAGTTCTGGAACTATCACCTACCAGGATACTGCTGATTTTGTGAAAAGACCAAACCAAAGAAATGAAACCTGGTTTTTCAGGTCAGCATTCCTGTGAACTGCAACCATGCCATAAGGAGCACTTTGGATCGTGGGACTTTAGGCTCTATGAAAGCCAAACTGAAACCAAGCCCACTAAAACCCATTGAAACCAAACGCAAGATATGCATGGATATCAATGGGGCATGTTCCCTCCAAGGATATCATGGGTACAGACAGCATTCCTGTGTGGCTAAATGCCAGGTAGCAGTTCGCTGGCCCACTGCCTATAAGCTTTTAGCTTTTATGCACTCTTCATGTCAAAAGCATAAATCTGGCTTGCTTAATACATCCAGTATACATAATTTTTGCTTGGTAGTTTATTAATATTATTTCTATTCCCTTCTTCTTCACCATTTTGTCTAATAATCAGATAATATGTTATACAAGTCTACCCTGCTAATCTTGATGTAAATAAAGTCTTCATACATTCATGCTGCAAACCTAAATGCAGATCCTGCAATTTTCTTCCTACCTGAAATCCTTTCTTTAAACTACAGAATTTTTCAGAACTGAACAGTTCACTTGTATTTTGGGATTTCTCATACTAAAAGCCATCATGAATACAGATGAATATTAAAAAATATCTTTTTTCCACTTTTATTAGCATAAAGATGCGTGTAAACACACATGCAAATGAGAAACTTATTAAAAGGCATTTTGTTCACAAAATTCTTTTTTTGAGGTTATCTTACCTATTAATAGTGCCTCTTTCTCTGATTTTAAACCCGGGCTTCGTTTCTCTGAATTCTTTTCTCTGTCTTGGTTGACCAGCGCTACTGTCAATACATTGATTTCCTATAAAGTTTAAAAAAAAACCCAAACAAAACAGGTGGTCATGTAGATTTCATTTACTTCAATTAAACCATTCTGCTTCCTTTCAACACTGTAAAAAAGACCACTACTTTAATTCACATCTAAAGACAAGACAATTATAAATAACTGATTTGTTTGCAGAATATTAAGACACTTTCTGAAATACCTTTATGCCAAGAGCTGCCAAGAAGAGAAATTTTGCTTGTGGACTAAGTAATAACTTTGTTGTTAGTGCTTCTTCATTATAACAGCTTGAAAAATGTGCCATAAAGTGTGAGGATGGTCAGAAAACTCACATTTTCTCGCTATTA